TGGCAATTTTCCACTTTTAGAACAAATAAAAAAAAATGGTGTCACTCTTTTGCGCTCACGCACACAGCCAGCCTTAGTGAAAATGGTGCCCTGGGTGAACTTGCATTTTGGCACTTTGCGTTGTGTTTAAGTATGTAGTAGTATTACCACAAGTTTAGAAATTAAGCTGTAAACTCAGAAGTTTGTTATAATTTACTAAAAAAGTACAAAAGAGGAAATGACACCAAATTAAATTTAATTCAATTTTATTCAACTAATAAATTATATATATATAAAAAAATAACATCTGACATCTTAGGTTCTTGTGACATTTTGTTCCCTTCCAAGTTTAATGAAATAACAAAACCAGAGAACCGCTAAGTTACAAGAAATTTGTCACACTACGTCACATTACATGATTTATTTTGAATTTTTTCATTTTACAACCTCTTGACCAGGCCCCCCCTCCCCCGACCATGGTGTCCTGAGCGGTCGCCCACCCAAAAGCGCGCACACTCTCTCTCTCTGACTTAATGCTGCTCATTGAATGAAATGCAAAATGGGATTTTACTTGGGTCTAGAAAGGAGAACCTGTGTTTTCCTGGAGGTGAATTTCTTATTGTCACTTAACTATTAATCCTGAGTTTTGAAAGTGCTGTCAACTTCAGTGAATGTAGAAAATGAAAGAATCCCTTTTCATTTCCCTAAGCATGATACTAATTCTTCTATTTGAATTCACAGTCTGCAATTTTTCTAACCATTGAATCATCCTGCAGTTAACAGAGTTTGTGAAAAAAATCACAGTGGATTGAATATAAAAGTGGAATCTTTGCTGAAGCCATTTGTACTGCTGTGTAAAAGTGTTTTCAGTACCAGAAATGGTGAAATATTAGACACTGAAATAACATCCTCATTATAATCTTCATTTTGGATAGAATTTTGGTGGCTACCATCTTAAGAAAAAAAAAATCAAGTTGTAGAAAGTAAGTGTACCACCTTGAAAGCTTAACGTCTACATTTCCAGACATTATGAGATATTGAGCTCTGTCTTAAGTGGTTTATGAGACATCAACTGCTATAGTCTCAAAGTAATTGTAATGAAGGAAGTAAGCAAGATGGTAATCTGGATTATGTGAAAGGAACATTCTGATATCTCATAGGCTGTTAGTACCGGAAGTAAATATAGTACAACATTAGAAAGATGGAGACACTGACTAGTTTGATACCTGCAACTTCATAGAATACACAAGCCTTGTTATTTATTTATTCTTTTTTTTGTTTTTTTCTCACAGGTGATCTTCAAGCGAATCAGGTGGATCCTTTTGGTTTCCCTGTCCCTTCACAAAAAGTTGGCAAAGCAATAAAAAGGAAAAAGGAAAAGGTAGAAAGTATGGAATTTAATCTAAACAGAAGAGCTGATTTTTACATTTAAGAACATGGTTTCCTGTCTGTATTGTATGCATGTGTCAGAAAGCATGAGAGAGAGATGGTTGCTAAGACTGAAACAGCACTTTGGTATAGGAAATTCTGCTTGTAGGAATGAAAAATATACTTATCGGCACTACCTTAGAACCTGAGAATTCTGGCTCGGACCCAGCAAAACGCTTATGCCTGTGCTTACCTTGAAGAACATGAGTAGACCCATGGAATTAAACTCTGTGCTTATCTGCTTTTCAGGATTGGGGCCAGGGTTTTCTACAAGCTCTTGCTTAGATGGCTCTTAGGGATGAAATCCGGTAGCCATTTATCAATTTTAGCCACTGAGGTTCCAAAGAGCAAAATCTGACAAAAGAATAGTTGACCAGTAGAAATACAAAATTACATTTTGTATCACAAATATCTCTCTGGTCCTGTTGAGTAGTTCATGTCACTGGTGATGCGTAGGGGGTGCACGTGGGTGCACATGCACCCCCTTAGCGTGGTGGTGTACCCCCTGCAAAAAGGTGCTGCCAACACTGCTTGCAGGCAGTCACCTTTTGCCACCCCCTGCCGCCACCGACACCACTGGAGGCATCTGTGGGTGGCTCACGATCGGCGCTGGCTGCTGCCGATGGTGTTTGCAGGTAGCCACCGACTGGTTGGCGCTCGCCACTGCCCCCGTCCTGCTACTGTTAGTGCTGCGGCCACCTGCAGGAGCTCCCTGCTTGCTGCTGCCACACTCCCACCGCCAACAGCGTCGCCGCTGTCTACAGGAGCTCACCATGCCCCTGCAGCCTTCAGGGCATGAGGTGTTCGTGGTTCACCTAGTACTTGAAGTTAAAAAAAAAAAAAGGAGAGACATATTTATTAAAGTGATAACTCCATTATGAGATTTTGGAAAGCGTGAAGTCAGCTGGAGTAAAATGTAGTAATGCCACAGAATGAGATTGAAAACCAGGAGAAAACTACTGACTTCACAGGAGCAGCTAATAACTTGCTGCAGTGTCTCCTCTAGTTCATTAGATGGTCTTCAAGAAGAACTAGGCACATGTGTTGTATTTTAGCAATAAAGCTTGACAAGGAATTATCATTAAATTTAAGCCAGTTTCACAGCTGGTGGTCTAATTCTCATCATAACTTTAGCATGTTATAGCTATTTAGATAAGTTAGCTTCTTGTCAGATCTTATATGAATGGCCTGAAATTGTTAACAAATATGAAAACTGAAGAATTATGACAGAACTTTGAAATGTGCCCTTGCAGTTAATGACCCGTAGATAACAGCAAAGTAATTCATGGGGAGATGATATCAAAACAGGCCAGGTCATGATGATACAGGAATCTGAGCACTGGAACTGAATTACACTGCACACAAGAGACTGGATGGGAATGTGCTTCAACCCAGTGGGAAAGGAGCAAGTTTGTGTTGTTCTAAATATTGCCTCTCCAGATGACCCTGAAGATATTTTGAAGGCCCCACAAGAAGCTACATCTGGGTCTCCATATGTGGAAAGACAGGTTCACAAATGTTGGGGAATGAGGGTTTGAAGTGAGGAACAGGAAGAGAGACTGAGTGAAGAACGGGGAGGAAGATTTCAACACTCATGCTTTAGGTGTTTAAGTAACTGTTTGGAGAAATCTAGCAAAAAACCCCAGTTCAACTGTCCTTGAATTTTCATCCCAGAAAAATACAGAACCCTATTGAAGATAATTTTTTTTTAACACAAACTTTATCAATGAAACATGTTTAAAGTTTGATTTTATTCTTTTAGACTGAAGTCTGCCATGGAGTATTAAAAGTAATTTCAAAAATGCTTGAAGAAAACAAACAGTTTAGAACTAGACTCATGACTTGCAGCGAGTTTAGTGGTGAAGGTAGGTAATGTCCGATAATATTTTATTACACTGGAGAAAACAAATTGGTTGTTAACACACAGGTATTTGTATCACAAACATCTCTCTGGTCCTGTTGAGTAGTTCATCTCACTGGCGATGCGTAGGGGGTGCACATGGGTGCACTTAACATCTCCAGGTACAGGGTCCATTACACTATTATTTTTGGTGATATGCTGTCCCAAGTCACAGATTATGGTATGTATTGCATATTTAGGTCCCTGTTAACTATATATGAATAGCCCCCTTCTTCCTTTGAAAGTGTTGTAAAATGTGTGTAAATGAGATACAGAATAACAGAAACTGTTTGCTGCCATGTATAATATGAAAAACACTGATATAAAGAGATGTTGAAAAAGTGATTTCATTTTTTTGACTATATGAAATATGTAATGAAACTATTGTTCACATAGTGGGCCTATATTGGTCATGTTGACTTACATTGGTCAAAGAAAGTACTAGCAAGGAGGATGTAAGGAGGATGAAGACTAATTTTTTTCACTTGCAGTATACAGTTGGAAATATTGCTTGACTTCAGAAAATCAATAACTAAATTAGCTGCCAAAAAAAACCCACCAGCTAATTTAATTGAACAAACAACATACATCTTAGGATTTTCCTCTGAGCTCATCTAGATCTTTACTGGTAAATGACAATGGAATGAAAGCTGACACTTTTCTGTGGCACCTTACGTTAGAATTGTTGTGGCTGCAGCAGAATTTTAGGTAATACAGTGCCCGCTTGCGAACATAACTGGAATTTCTGGTTTTGCAGTTTGATTAGTTTTAGGGAAAAAGAAAATAGCAATCCATTAAGGGTCATAAGTTAAACTGCCATATTCTTTTCTCAGTGCCTTTGCTTAGCTTATGTTAGTATTAATAGAGGTTTTACACAAGCAGTGAGGGAAAATATATATACCAAAACATGTGTAACCTGTTGTCAATAGCTGTCTGTTCAAAACTGTCTTTATTGTATTTATATTCAGTTTCCACATATGTGGTTCAAAAGTGCTCCCATAAGGCCGTGCTCATTTAAAAATGCTATCATCCACTTTATGTGTTATCAAATTTATGGATACTCATTTTGCCTTCAGAAAATGTACTTGATGAAAATGTATAACTGTAACTTTGTACCTGATTTGCAATCCCCTTCCTCCCAGGCCAGTGTCTACTTGTGGAGAAAGGTATTTGGTTGATGGATCCTTACTGAGTGTAAAACCTGTGTCCATGGTTTTCTCTACTACAAAGCTGCACTTCACAACAGGAGAAAGCATTGTTATGGCAGTTCCCTCATGTGTCCAACCTTGTCCTTTCTTGCACCTTTATGTTTCATGTTATATGCAGTTCTTGCCTTCCACAGCCTTTCCTGGGGCTGAAGGCTTTGGGACAAGCAACAAAACAAAGCTTAAAAAAACTCCAACCCACCAACAAAACATTGCCTGACTTTCCCAGGCAAAAGGAAGGTAGAGTTGTATCAGGCATGAAAGAAAGATGCATGAAAATTGCCTCAAGTTCTGGTAATCTGTTATTAGTTGGGAAATTTCCTTGGTGGATTTGCAGCCTTTTAAAATTATGGCTGTTAATCTGTTGTTCCATTTGTTGTGGAGAGACTATGCACTACTTTGTCAGGCTTATATTTATGTCAGGTAAAGGTGGATGGGAGCTGCTCATTTCTTAGGTGTGTTTTCAGAAGTCTATTTCTTTTTTTCTTCACTAGCAGTTAGAGAGAAGTATTTATCTTTAGGTGTAATGTGCATCGATTGACTTTATTCTACCCTCCTCTCTACTTTTAACTCATTTTTCAAAAGCTTTAATTGTGAATCTATTATTAAGACCTATTTAGCTGAAAACTCTTGACTCTAATACCTTCTTTCTAATTAGCAGGTTTTGTACTATATTGCACCAAGGAGATATGTTTCTTATCGATCTGAATTTTTCATTAAACAAATACCAAAAGTACACTGGAATATTCCTGGCAGACCTCTAGATATGGATCAAGAAATCTGAATCAACCAGCTTTAGTCACACTTTACCATTTATGTTTAACTAGATCTATAAAACTTGTAAATGAATGCTGTATTTTATTATTCTTACAGTTTTCTCGAATGACAAAAACCTGCTACAGTTTTAATAGTATATGTTTGCCACAGGAAAAACTAGCCATAAAACTTAGTTTCAGTACCAGTAAAAATGATTCATCACCCACACATTATGTTTTTCTGTAGGCAGAGATGTGAACCAAAACACCCAGAATAAGGCTTCCTGCTTGGATGTGGTAAGTAACCTGTTAAACACCAAATCAATCTGTTATATTTACTAAAATAAATTGAATGTGGAATAAGTTTACTAGGAGCAAGTCTGAACCATGCTTACAAAAGGGAAGAGAAACACATTCCTCAACAGTTTATATACCTTGAAAGTCTTGGAGGCGGTTAAGAATTGCCAGCTTTTCTTTAGGTCAGTTGTGGCATATGTGGTGTGTGTATGCAATGGCTGTGCTCAAATGTATTCATCTCAAATGCACCTTGTCTAGGACAGCCAGCTCTGTGAGTGGTGCCTGAAGCCTCTGAGTTCTCTGATGCTCATTTATGGCTTTCTCTCTCCTTGAGCGTGGGGAAGGGTTTGTGGTGTCCTTTCCCTCTGATTTACAGTATATCTCCAAGGATTAGCCATAATATATTTAATAAATTTGGGTCAACATAATTTTAAAGATTCCGCTGAAGCACATATATACAGTATTGCCCGCTCTCATGATTTTTGGCATTGTTCTTAAAGTCTACACTTTGGGAATGTAAGAAACTTAGCTCTTTCTTGCATATATATTTTTATATATAAAAGCTAAGTTTTTCACAGTCCTGAAGCACAGACTTCACGAACAATGCCAAAAAGCATGAGAGTTGACAATACTGTATATATAAACATAGACATTTGTATGTAAACATGTAAGAAAGTGCAGAGGCTAGACCGTGTATGGCATTCAGAATTATTTTTTACTACACATTTTAGCTTGCTGGCAATGTCATGCCACTTGAAGAAGTTTTCAGTTATATGAATATAGCAGTGAAACATTCTCATCTGGTGAAGAATGTTGTCACAGGATTCTGAATGGCATAAGAGCAGGGTCACTTGAGTATGCGTGTAATTTTAAACACAATAACCTAGATCCTTCAGCCTGACCTCATTTCTCAATGTGGAATCTAAGTTCAGGGGATGCAAAATGGCTTTATTCCTGCCATTCCACTCCCTCTTGTCCCAGCTGCAGTCCAAGCCCAGGGGCCAATTTAGCTACACTTCAATTTTGACCAGCATCAGACCTCTTCTCATTTATACCTGGCTGCAGTGGCTTATATAAATCCATTCCAGGAACTGGTGCTGGCAAGAACACACAGCACTCTAGCCATTCTGTTTTTCTGCAGTCATGGTCCCTAGGCTGGGGACAGTGAAGGTGTGAAGTTTGGGGAAGTGGTGATACTGTGCTACTGTATGATACCCATTAATCCTGAAGTGGCCCCATAAGGTGGTGGAGCATTAACAACAGACTTAACAGGGCTAAGGATCTTGCCTAATATATATGGATGGATTCCCCCAAATAGACTACAATATTTTTGATATTCAGTTGATGAAGGAATCAGAATAGAACCTTTACCATTAGCTGAGTGCTATAATAGTTAAAAGCATAATTGTTATGAACAGGCTTAAGTTTTGTCATCTTTTTTCCTTTAGGATGGGGCCATCTTTGGATGGGTGTAGCAAGAAAATAAATGAAGATTCAATTTCAACTGTTGCTTTAAATTAGTGTTCATTGTTTGTCTCATCCAACACCCGTTGGAGTCAATGTAAAGACTGCAAATGGCTTCACTGGGCATTGGATCAGGGTCCATATTTGTTTGAAATATATCTTGGTAGCATGTTAGTTTCAGCAGTTTATTTTAATATGGGTTAAATTAAACTGTTCAGTTAAAGAAATCTTTGTTTTTCAAAAATCTCTATTAAGCATAATTCATCACTTAGTCATTGTTAATTGTTGAAAGCTTTTGAATTGACACAACATTGTGACGGTTTACCAGCAAAAGAATAGAAATACAAATTTTATGCTAAAACTATATATTTATGTTGTTATACTCTGTAGCTTGTCAAAACTGTAAACAAACATGAATGCAGTAAAATAAAATTTCACACAGGATGTGTACATTGAAAATGAACTACTTTCATTCCCATTCATTTGAATAATTTTTGTTTTATTGTATGAAAAATAATATGCAATCAACCTTTGGTTCAGTCATCCATTTATACATGAATCTCAGCAAGGATTTTGAATAAGAATCCAGGTGAATACTTTCTGCTTCACTCATCATCAGGCCCATGATGAGAGCATCATAATCAAAATTTATTGTTTATCAGACTGCCTTTAATAATAACACGAGATGATTCTTTGTGTTATAGAACTTCATACTTGGAGTTCTGATGGACTGTTAACGCCTTTTTAACTGGTAAATTGTGTAAACGGAACATGAAGGCCATGTAAAGAATTTTCTATGTACGCATTTCATTTCTTTAGCTAAAACATTCACCTGTCATTTTGAGACTATTTTTATTCTTTTGAAAGAATGGTTTCTTAGCATTTATACATATAATGACTAGAACTGTAGCAGCACTGAGCTTTAGTAATATGCTAGCATTGTGTCATCAAGCAGCAGAGCATTTAGGAAGGTTTAGATGCAGGTTTCCTAATGGTAAAACTACAAGTAAATACTAGAAAATGTCTTTTGGATGGAGAGCTCTGACATTAAAGTTCTCATTATGAACAGTGATTTGTGTAGAGCAATAGTTTAATATTACTGAAAACAGCTGACATTTCAGCTTGGGAAAAGAAGTCAGAAAGAAAAGTATTCAAATAAATACATGGTCATTTTCTGTGGCAGAGCATAGATTTAGAAGTGCTCTGATATTTGATAGCTGATATCGACACATTTAGGGTCAAGTTTTTTTTTTTTAAGATATGGGGTTGTCATTCTTTCTCTAGTTGTTGCTGGCACTTCTATTCAGGGGCAATGGAGTAAGCTAGTTAACACCCAGCATATTGCTCCTGATTTAGTGACTGCAGTGGGCCTTTATAGGAGCTCCTATGCTCTATCTACCCACTCTCTTCTCTGGGCATGCCTATTCTCCGCCTCCACTCTTACTTCCCAGCTTACTCCAAGATGCCCTGATGCCTGGGACTGTAGCAGTCAGACAGAGGGCCTCATGTTTGCTCCAGAGGTTGCCAGCCTAGCTTAGTGCAAAGCAACCATCAAGTGATGCTGAACATGACATAGTTTCTATCTTAGCATTAACGTGTTCTGACTCCAAACAATAGTAGCTTGGTTTCAATACACTGGCATAAACAGAATTCAGTCCAGAAGATGGACAGCAGACCAGATGCCATTCACACTGGCAATGTGTATTCAAGCACCAACAATGCAGCAAACAATACTCTGATTACGATATTTTATGTTTCTTAATATGAAATGCTAAATGTAAGGTGCAGAAGAAAGAACATCTATCCCAGGGAAGATCTTAGAAAAGTTTATTAAAGAGGCCATCCTTAATGGACTGGCCGACGCCAACATCCTAAGGGATAGCCAGCATGACTTTCTTGCGGGTAGGTCTTGCTTGACCAATTTCATTTCCTTCTATGACCAGGTGACCTATCACCTGGACAAGGGAGAAGAGATTGATGTCATATATCTTGACTTCAAAAAAGCCTTTGATCTGGTATCCCATGATCACCTCTTGGTGAAACTGGCCAGTTGTGGCCTTGGGTCCACTACGATCCACTGGCTGGAAAATTGGCTCTGTGGTCGGACCCGGGGGGTAGTAATAGATGGAAGTCACTCATCATAGTGTCCTGTGACTGGTGGGGTTCCCCAAGGCTCTGTCTTTGGCCCCATATTGTTCAACATCTTTATTAATGATGTGGACATTGGAG